AAAAATTGAACGAATTAGAATTAACATCAAATGAATGGAGCGTACTATCTCTATTACATGATGTATTGAAACCGTTCTATCGAGCAACACAATTAATTAGTGGAAGTAAATATTCAACTATTGGGCTAGCCTATTTTGCCATTCATTTTATCAAATTCTTTATTGATGATACGATTGATGATAGTTATGAAAAGAAAAAAATTAAAGAGCTTTTGTCGAAAGCAATGAAACAATATTTAGATGATGATATTGACCAAAGTCAACTTCTGAAAGTAAGATGTTAGCATAGGCTGACTATTAGGGTTTGATCAGAAAGATTGAAACAAAGACTAAAACTGGTATTTATCTTTCTGTGACTTATATGATCAGGACGATTTCAGGTCCACCTGTGCTGTCACCTGAGTTCAATAAAAGCTGTAAAAATCAATAAAAGTACTTTGGCTTTGAAAATTTTTTCTAGAACCTAGGATGTAAACGAATACTTTTTATCAATCTTAAGTACAGAACTACTATCGGCTCCAAAATACAAGGCAGTCGGTAGTTTTCGAATAACTTTTGACAGGAATGAGGTAGAGACCTGCGGTTTTCAGTATTCGATAGCCAAGACCAGTACGCACCTTTTCACAAGCAGAAGTGATTTTTGAAAATTCAAAGGATTTTGAGAGGACCTTGAAAAGTCAAGTCGTAACTCTCAGAACTGACATAGAAATATGTCGATTTTTTTCGATGGGTTTATAGTCCAAACTGTTCTCTACAAAACTGGATCTAAGCGACATCTTCAAAATCCATGATTCGAGCTTGTTAAGGCTTTTTGCCAAAACACCAGGATTGCCCTTCTGTTAGGGCTGGGACCAGTGAAAATGATTGCAAACATAGCTTTTCGACTATGGCAAATGTCGTGGCAATGTTTATTTTGTTGTCCGAATTAAAGAAACTTCAAAAGACGAATTTCTCGCGAAATTCGATTTTTCCACTGTGACCATAGTAAAATAAAAACCTTCTAGCACCTTCATTTCTCAACCAAAGTGCATGGAACTTGAAGAGTGAGCATAAGAGAAGGTGTTATATCCAATATCACGATCAGAACTACAAAAAGTAAAGCAGACCTTTACAGGTTTTTCAGAAAACTGAAGACCTTTAGGTAAAATCTCCATACGAGAAATGATTCCAACGTTTCCAAGCTGTATAGCAGGCGAAATTGAGTGGATTTTGAAAATTTGAAGCACTTTCGTTGAGAAATGAAGGTGATAGGAGGTTTTTATTTTACTATGGTCACAGTGGAAAAATCGAATTTCGCGAGAAATTCGTCTTTTGAAGTTCCTTTAATTCGGACAACAAAATAAACATTGCCACGACATTTGCCATAGTCGAAAAGCTATGTTTGCAATCATTTTCGCTGGTCCCAGCCCTAACAGAAGGGCAATCCTGGTGCTTCGGCGAAAAGCCTTAACAAGCTCGAATCATGGATTTTGAAGATGTCGCTTAAATCCAGTTTTGCACAGAACAGTTTAGACTATAAACCCATCGAAAAAAATCGACATATTTCTATGTCAGTTATGAGAGCTACAATCTGACTTTTCAAGACCCTCTCAAAATCCGAGCTTTGAATTTTTCAAAAATCATTTCTGCTTGTGAAAAGAATGCGTACTGGTCTTGGCTATCGAATACTGAAAACCACAGGTCTCTATCTCATTCCTGTCAAAAGTTATTCAAAAAGTACCTTGTATTTTGGCGCCGATAGTAGCTTCATTAGATGAAATATAATATATGTTGATTTGATTTAATTTTAATCAACTTTGACTGAGTTTCAGTCGTTCTCTGTTTCCTTGTTTCTCAATTATTGTGGCTGCTGTTGCATGAAAAAAAATGAATTAATAATTAAATAGGAAAAATTAGTTTAGTAAATAAATTAGTGAATAATTTATTTAGCATGAGTTAATTTGAATCAGCATTGGTATAGCCCAAATGCCTCTGGCGATCGCTACTCTCTCATTAGTTTTTATATTTTTTCACTTTTTAGTTCCACGTATATTTTGATATTCTTGGATATTCAGTACTGAGTGATAAAGAGAAGACCTCAATTGAACATGATTTGAAAACAATTGTTAATAATGGTTCATTATTTGATATGTTATCTCCATCACCAAGTAATATTAATAATTCAACGCCAACATCACTAGAAGGGATGGTGGAGGTGACAACAACCATGGCAACATGCAAAACGGATAAGAGAAAGCCATTATCTGCGTTAAATTTGTTCTTGGCATCTGTTGGTCAAACTGTAAATACCACAGACACTTATAAACCAAAAGCAAAGGGTCTGACGCTTGTGGAAGAGATGAAAAATTATAAATCGTTAGTCTCATTATTTCATACCAAAGATATATTCACTTCATCATCGTCGTCAGTTGCGTTTTGGAAGTCATATGAAGAACAATTACCTATTTTAGCTAAATATGCGAAAAAATATTTAGCTGTACCAAGCACGAGTGTGCCATCGGAATCGGCCTTCTCTCTTTCGGCTTATCTGGCGCGAAAAACACGAGCTCGGCTAAGTGACGACAATTTGGCATATAGTGTTTTTTTAAAAGATAAAATTAGTATGGATGATGAACAATAAACTACTTCTATTATTTTTTTCTGTATATATGATTTGTTTGATGTTTACTTTCTCGTTGTTAGTAGAGTTTTTTTCCATGAAATGTAGTATTATACTTTTTTTTGTGAATTGACGAATGTCAATTCAGAACAGATTATAAAGTTGATTACTTCGAGATGTCAGTAGCAACTACGAGGAGTACAATATAAACGTACTACTTTCGGTTTTAACTGACAGTCGATTTCCTATGGTTCGATTCAAATCGATGCTTTGGTATGTGCGGACCCATTACTTCTTAATTAATTCTGTAGTCTGCGTACTAATTGGAATTTTTCTCCGCAGGTAAGTATTTTCAGTAATTGACGTTGCGAGAAGAAACTTGGCAAATTAACCTTTGAATCCACTACTTTCTCCGTAGAAGCCCGTTAATTAGACGAAAACGGCCAACTAATCGAGAAAAATTAATGCATTTTTTAGAAGATAGCATTTTTGTGAGCAGGTACCGGAACATTTCGTACATTTTTCATCAAGCCGCGACTCATGAAAATGCTTTCTTGGTATGAAAAAGAAGTGCATTTTCCTCACTTGAAATTAGTCATTTTTCTTTGTCTAATTAATGGCTTTCTCAAAGATCCTAATCGACATATAATTTAATACTAAACTAGAAATAATTTAAGTAATGCTATCTAAATCACATCTGCGCAAAAAATCAGCAATTCTGATTTCAGTTTATCCAAATTTTGAAAACTAGAACAGTAACAATCAAAACTGAGCACATTACAAAATTTCGTCGGTTATAACCGATGTTCGGTTATTTCGGTATCGGTTATAACCAATGTTCGGTTATTTCGGTTTCGGTTATAACCGATGGTCGGTTATTTCGGTTTCGGTTATAACCGATGGTCGGTTATTTCGGTTTCGGTTATAACCGATGTTCGGTTATTTCGGTTTCGGTTTAACCGAAACATCGGTTAACCGAATCGATGCACTCCTATTCCACATAGCTATAAAAAATCGGCGATTGTGAGTATGATTCAAAGATCACTTGCAATCTGCTCCACTTATAAATTATTGGATGCGGAATTCCAGGAAATAGAGCGTCTTG